GATTTGATTTGCAACTGTCTCATTGCTCTTTGTTTATCAATAAAATTATGGGGAAAGAAAAGAAAGGAATACATAAAACTGAAAATGTCACAGTTAATGAGGAAATACTTAAAGTACATTCTGCAAAAAGCGAGGTTTCATGGCCCACCCCTGTAGTCCAGCTGTAGCACTCTGAGCTGAGGCAATCCAGTTGCTTGAGCCTGGGAGTTCGAGACCAGCCTGGGTAATACAGTTTAGGAACATCTCCTCTCAAAACAAGGAATGAGGGTGAGTTTGTGGTGCTTGCCCGTAACCCTAGCACACTGAAGGAGGAGATAGGAGGATGGATCACTGTGAGCCAAGGCCAGCCTAAATTGCATAGTGAGACCCTGGTGAACGAGAGAGGAAGGGAGAGAGATGAAGGGAAGGAGAGGAGAGAGAAGAGAAGAAAGGAAGGCAAAGCAACAGACTATTCAGTAGAAGGAGCCTCCAAACTTTTTGTTTCAAGGTTGGATTAGTGGTCCATTGGCATAATGTATTTTCTAATCATATTGTATGGCTGAATAGGTACAATTATATATCATTCCAGCTTAATTTGATTAAATAAGCTGGAATAAATTGGATTTTCTTTTCAAGAGGTACTCATAAAATAAAAGTACCTTTCTTGTTAGATATTAAATTCACTTTTTTTTACCTGTACTGGTTTATTTTAGGCATTACCTGACACTCAGATCACCAGTTATGCAGCCACTTTACACCGGAAGAAGACACTTGTGCCAGCCCTTTACAAGGTTATTCAAGATTCGAATAATGAGGTATGAAAATTGATAAGAAAATAAATGCCTACATAGTAAATATGTGTCCTACAACAGAAGTGGAAGTTTTGTAGTTTTCTGTCCTTGTAGATCTGGACATTTTTCTTCCTGCTATTCCATTCTGATAGTTGCTTTGGCTTTCTCCATTCCTCCCTGTCCATATTTTAAAATGTTTTGATCAAGTTTTTTCCTCTTGAGGGCAGTTTGATTTGATTCTTGATTTGAATGATAGTCACATCAGTGGATTGTCTAATTGGGAACTTTTCCTGCTTCCTATTCTAAAGTGTTTCCAGCTGTGAAAACCAAAATTTATAGTGCACTAATTGTTTTTTGTCTTTCATTAACTTATTGATTATGAACCTCTTTTTTTGAAGGCATGATCTCACTATGCAATTCAGGATGGCCTTGAACTCACTTATGTAGCCTGAGCTGGCCTTAAACTCATGGTGACCTGCCTGCCTCAGCCTCCTGAGTACTGGGACTACCATGCATTACCATGCCTGGCTAATTTTAAAAAGTTTAATATCATTTACTTTTATTTATGATAATTTCATATATCATCACTCTAATCAATGAAATCAGCCTTAAAACACAAAATGATGCTACTAGTGAAGTTAAAATGATCAGAAGAAGCATCTTTTTAAGAAACTAAAAATAATTTCCTGTTATTCAACTTTGTGATAAAAAGGGAAAATGTAGTTATTGAACTTACATATTAATTTATGCCAAATACACACATTTCTCCATTAACACACAGTATGACATACAGTTGTATCACCTGGATGCATGTGTGCTTTAAAATGAAAATGAAAGGAACACCCAGGAAAGTAGCTTCTTATCTCCCCAGATACAGCCTCCAAGAGTGCCTCTGCTGTACACCTGAGTGAGTTTGAAGAAGTTCAGGTAATGGTCTCCTAACCAGCAGCCTAACCTAGAGTGCCTCTTCCCTTTTGTCCTGGCACTAAAAGCGTGCTTATTGACCTCTTTCTTTCCTGTCTCAGTGTGGACTTTCAGGCTGTTGCTTTTGTGGCAGAAGAACAGGAGTCATTTGCTTTTTTCTCGCAGCATATTTCTGAATGTTTTGTAATCTTAGGTATGAGTCATGAGTATCATCATATGCATATCTTTCTTAGCCAGGAGATCTCAGTTCTCTAAGTCAGTGAGTGTATATGTTCCCTACTTCTTATTTTCCTTGTCTTAACATTTAAGCTTTGCTTATTAAGACTTGTTTGATGTTTTCCCATTAGATTGTAAACTCTTAGGGGCAGTCGTCATGTAGTGTGCATGTGTTACTTCCCTAGAGTCTGGTATTTGTCATGTACATAGTGAGCAGGCAGTAAATACTGATCAAGCTGAAAGGTGCTGGAAGAGCACTTGCCTCATGTGTGTGAGGCCCTGTTATCATGAGCCGGTCCCCAGCACCACTGTAAGCAAACAGAATGAAATATAAAAAGATTCAAAAATTTTCTTATTTTCATTAGGACTCACTAATGTATAACAAGTATCTCTTCTTAATACTTTGAAAGCTATGCTGTTTTAATAGCTATCGCTTCCTATTGTGGTCCATCATAATACTAACATTGTGACCTAGAAGTGATGCCAGCACAGTCTGAGAGAGCCGAGCTCAAGACCCAGCACTCGTTGCAGTCGGGTTGCTGCAGTTCTGGGTCTGCATCCTTTGCCCTGTCTGGTCAGCAGGCTCGAAATATGTACTCAGACTTTGGAAAAACAGAATGTCAGTTTTATAGAATCTTTAAAAAGTTCTGGACTTGGGGCTGGAGAGATGGCTCAGTGGTCTAAAGCACCTACTTAGAACAAGCTTGGCAAAGCA